GTAGCTTTCAAGTGTTTTAACATTATGGTCTCTCCCCATATCCATCACCTGAATTACTTAAATTGGGGAAATGTGTTTGAAGTCCAAATTCTAACAATAAATTACTTGTCTAGCGGAATAAAATTTATAGACGGTCTTTAAAAATATGCGGATCTGACTATAGGTACCGAACATTAATGGTTAAAACTCTGTTAGACAGACTAAATTACTCTCATGGGCACCATACTGTACAGCACTGGTGAAGAGTTACTGATAATTACAGCTTATACAGAGCTTGTACTTATACAGAGCAGATAGAAATTGTATTATAAAGACAAAAACAGGTTGCTGTAAAAGATCACAGAGGAATTCGTTACAGCCTGAGTGGAGAAACATTATAGATCTGCTGGTCAGGCTGATCAGACTGGAGTCCAGTTTCCAATGTAGTCACACTGCCCTGTGAGAACACATCATCACAGTTAGTATACTGATACTGACTGTACTAATAGAGCTTGGCATCACACACACACTGGACTGACAGAGCTGGACATCACACACACAAACACACACACACTGGACTGAGAGAGCTGGACATCACACACACACACTCTGGACTGACGGGGCTGGGCGTCACACACACACACTGTACAGAAATGTTTATTATACAAATGGAGCTGATGTAGACAGTTAATTTCAGAAGGCTGCTCCAGAGAACAAATCAGAAAATCACACGTATAATTTCTACCTGCTCTGACACACGAGCATTTCACAGGTTAATTAATATGCCAGAATAAAATGTCACCATTAACATTTGTGAATTGTGTGACATATATTTCAGTGCAAAAAATAAATGGGCACACATGAAATATAGTTTTAACAATAACACAGATTGTGCTATTTAGCACAAAATGTCACATACTCTTTCTAGAAAGACCCTCTCTTTATCGTGAGCAGGACTACCTACATTTTGCACAAGCCTTTACACACAGACACACAGCTTAACCTCTCCGGCATCACAGTGAAACTGGAGGCCCATATCTCACCTTGCGCTTCCTGCTCAGAGAGGAAAACCAGCCCATCCTTCTGCTCCTTCCATTTCAAACTGGTTCTGTTCATCCCAGTGTGCCTGGACAGCAGCCCCCTCATCTGGACAGACAAGAACAGCACAGACTGCCTGAGAGCAGGGCTGGATCTGGACTGGAGCACCAGCCAGCAATACTGATCCATCACCCTGAGTGTAACTAGTACAGTCTGTACACTGATCCAGTAATATTCACACAGCCCTGATCATTATAGATATATCATTCTCCATACTGTACACTGATCCAGTCATATTCACACAGCC